TTTTCAAAAGAAATCCAACTTAGAGTTGATTTGAAAATGTTTCTAATCATGTGGACTACACAAACATGCTATTTTAATTACAGTGGTAGAAATCTATTAAAAAAGCAAAACACCGATAATATAAGGTAATATAGATAATATAAGGTAATTCAAATGTAATGATGCACTTTTTTCTCAGACGGAATGTACAAATATCAGGGTAACGCCTTCTCCGATGGTAGTTACAGTCGTTGAGTGCTCAGATGCATTAAGTATGCATTAGAGCAAGAACCAAGATCTTATTACTGGTACCCCTACACTACAGGCGTACGATCTGGCAAGCAAGTGCACAATCTACCCATCGTGTGTTGAATTCGAAGCCAGTTTACTGGATTTGTAAGATTTACGAAAGCCAAGAACGGATAACCCAGTTTTTTAATCGCACAAATAGATTTATCTACTCCGCTCTCCAACATTTTGCGATCTCCCCAATTCAATAATTCTGGTGGATCACAAAGTTGAGTATTCGCCCAGAAGAAAACACACTTGCTCTGCACCGACACTATTCGGGTCAGTTTCTTGGGGAGGCCTTTTTTTGCGGTGCTTTCTTGCATTACTGTAATTTCCATATCATGCCTTGCTTGATTGTTTTATCGTTCAGTTGATCTTCTCAGTGGACAATCTAACAATTGAAGTTTTATTAGTTTGAGTTACAATACTGAGTTCCGAGATGTTTTTAAATTGTTTTCACAATAGGTACTCGAACACATGTTGTGTACAACTTGTTGAAGAGAAAAAAACTGGATGCCAACAGAGAAATCAATGAAGCAACTTTAAATATCCCAGACGCCATTACACTCATCTGCAAAGCAAATTTGGCCATTTCAGGGCGTGGTTTACTCTTGGATATCCACGGCCAAGTACGCACACCTCAACGACGACGTTTGCTTTCAAGATGTTGTACAAGGCCATCGAAGTCTAGGCCACTTCACTAATCACGGAGGCCTGGCTGCTGTTCCCTCTCCGCTAGACGAGAGAGATGGAGGAGAAATCGACGCAATTCAGCTGGAATTTCCTAAGGAGTTCCGCTCTGTGTGGAGTTCTGAGCCGGATGCACAACACAACATGACTAATGCTACGGTCGAACTTTTTCAGCTAAATTATGAAATGTAACAAACTTTTTTTGTTACTACTTTTTTTATCTTTGTTTTTGCTTTAAAAAAGGCGAAGTAGGAGGACAGTTTGCAATTCTCAACATTAGCTCGGAAATTTCAAAACTGTAAATACCATGATAGACGCAACATGTAGATCAACTGCATACATTAGTGTCGCAGGCAACCATAATTTAGGGATTTGCGTGTGCTCAAGCTCAAAGCTCCACCATGGATTCACTGTGAGGCCTTAGTACAAAGAGAGGATGTGAATCATTCTTTAATATTTAAAACAAGCACATGAAACGCTTTTTAAAGTTTTACTTTCCTTTTTCCAAACTTAACAGCCCCAAACTTAACACTTTAAGGCCGTAGATACAAACTGTCAGTGTCGATGCGTAAACTGAACAAATTGTAAGTAAGTGTTTGAAATCAGCATGGCTGGTCGTCTGGGAACTGAATTTTCGGAATAAATAAAAGTATGTCGACCCGTAAGGCGCAAGCTTCCTTATCGCCAACCTTCGTGCTGTTCTTGCATCCGTCTATCAAAACTTCCCGTGCTTAACCACAAACAGAAACGCTATTAAAGAGACTATCTAGTTTGTACTATTTTCTCTCGTCGTGAGAGTGGGTAACGCATGCATGAACTGCAGTGAGTCGTGCATTGTTTCGAATTGTTGTCTCTGACTGTTTCTGCGGAATGATGTGCTGACAGCAACAGAAACTCTATCGTACCACTTATCTTTGTAGGCAGTTAAATGAAGTCATGGAGAGAGCTGTCAATGACTTAGCAATTGCCTGAATATGAAGATACATAACGTGCAATTGAAAGGGACTGAGATACATACAGGTTACAGTAAAGTTCCACACACGAACAAATATTACTGATTTTTTCACACCAACGCCTTTGCATGATTATGGAATTTTTTTAAAGATAGTGACGTCTTCTAAAGATCACCTTAAATTTTACCTACATTGTTATCAGCTCCATATAAACATGATAAATAAAACAATAATAATGTCAAAATTATTGCTCTATAAATATTTACAATTTTTTTTACAAAGGTTTCTTAAATACTTCTGCTTCTTCTAAAGATAATAACGTCCCAAACACAAAGTGTTGGATAACAGGAAACTTTGATAGGACCTGTCAAAATATAATGAGGCCAAATTAAAAAAAAGAAATCTCATAAATAATAATAATAATAATAATTATAATTGTTTCACTTTTGAAATTCAACATTATAATTTTCATCATTGTTCAACAAGTTTGAACTTTGAATCTTGCAACCAACAGTTATTTCTTATTTATTATTGCTAATGAAAAAAACAAGAGATGAAGAACACAAAAGGCTCACAGAGCCATAACAAAGAACAACCTTAGGATATTGCAGCTAATACCCTTCCAGGAATCAGTTTTCAACTCTTAGTTACCTGGGGTGCTCTCTCCTTGACACAAAAGAGTGTAATTAGGAAGAGATAGTTAAATGACAGTCCACATACCTCAGCTTTGTACATTTTTATCAGGCCAGAATTTACTTTGTCCCATATTTTAACAGAGCTGATACCCCATAAAACATTAGAATGTTCTGCAAAAGGTCCACTTTTCATCTGGTTTGTTGAGAAAGAAACAAAAGGAAAAGGAAAACAAATGGACATTTTCAAACCGCTTTCCAGTATGGTCTTACTCTGGGGGCTACATTAGATTTTACATGCCAGGAAAAAAAGCAGGCTTGAGGTTGACATTTAAAGTAAAGTAAGTTTGGTGAGATTTAATTTGCCTAGTCACGTGTGATTTCAATAATTGATGGGAAGTGATGGAGAAAATAAGAAAAAACTGTATAGATTTAGGAGATGGTGCATGAAATACACGTAGTACATAAAAGCTTGTCTTTCATTTAATATATCTTGTAAAAACTGTTGTTTTTCATTCTGTTCTTGTTTATTTTAGCAAATTTTATCTAAGCTCCAGTATGGCCCAATATACATGACCTTACTATTTCAAATCCAAACTCCATTGTAAAGAATGCAAAGGAAATTCAACAAAAAAACAGAATGGTTCACTACTTGAACAAGACTGATAACCAGAGTTAAAACTGACATACTGGTATGAAACCTGTAACAGAAATGATAATAGAGACTTTCTCACCTCATTTATAAACTTGATGCAGCCAAAGAACATGTAATCAAGGTGATCACTTTCCACAACAGAAGATTTAACAAAGTCCTTTGGTTCTAAACTTGGATGATCTACAGGAAAAATTGTTTCAGAAATATCAGCAGCACTCCACAACCATGATAGCTTATTTTATTGCCCAATGTCTTTTGTAAGGAGGAACTACATAAATGTATATGAACCTATCTTACAAATCCTTTACTGGCTTCTCAGGCCATTCTATTCAAAGACAAGTAAAGAATTCCACTATTAACTGAACTGTCTGGCTAAATCAGTGAATGCCTTGATTTCCTTAATTCCTTGTAACAATTTGCTGTTTTGATGGAGAATTTTAATAAATAAGGCAGAACTCCGAAAAAATGCCTAATTGAATAGTCCAGTGGCATGTTCTGTAATGGAGATTTCAAGGATTAGATGTTCTAGAGGTTAAACTTCCTGTCATGTATCCTGTACATGTAGCGGATATCATATGTTTCCAATGTGAACACACAAGTGAAGGAAATGTTTTCATGTGTTTATCTTATTGCACAATGTCCAGATTTTCAAATATAAACAATTCAAAAATAAGAGCTTCTTTACTGATCTAAGTTGGTATACATGGAAAAAATGTGCACTTGGTCTTGAGTACAGTTGTTTCCTAAACAAACCTCCTGCCCAGTAAATAGCATATATTTATTTGTGGTCCTGTTTTTTCAATTTTTTATTTTACAAAATAAAAAATATAATAATCATAGATAAATATAAAGGAAAATGTGATTTGAACCACAGAAAAAAAAGAAAGATCCTCAAATATAATATATCAATGATACAAACCAATCAACTGAGAGCTCCCCCAAATAAATGGAACAAACTGGAAATCATCTAGTCCCCAGACACCTTGGCTGCCTGCTGGTTCCATTCTGTATGTTGACTGAAGCCTTCTCATCAGTTCTAAATACCTGGAAGGTGAGAAGAGAATCATTATTAAGCTAAATTAATTCTAACAATGTTTCCTTCAAAAGTTTTCCTTTGCAGTGTAGATTAAAAAATATGGAATTCTTTAAAGTGTCTTGTCTTCTTGTCTACACAACAAAACAGAAATCCATGGATATCTAAGATCAAGAAGCACAACAACCAGTAAGGCATAGAATAGCTAAGATGTCTTCAAAAGGAATCTACATGTATCACAGTTACTGAATATCAGCCAGTCACAGTAAAGTACAATATTTCACAAGGTTATAAGTGTCCATTCAACCTAACTGCCTATATACTAACAGTTCACACACAAATCAGTAAAATCAACATCAAAAGTGACTACATCAAGACACATCTTTGGGTAATACTAATAGTGTATTCACTACAATGAATAACCATGACCTTTTCACCAAACTACCATTTTCAAAGAATCCGCCCACCTTTCAAATACTGTATGTCCATTTGTCACTTGACAAAGTATAAAGTTACCTTTGAAACACCCTGAACACTATTGAAGCACAGTCACTTTGATCCAGCACTCTGAGTTTGAACAGACAGCATAGAAATGCAATAAAACAAGCCTCATGACCTGTGGGAAAAGATTAATATCAATTTTTAAGCTTCTAATTTTCCTCAATTTTCATCAGACAAATCCACACCAACTAATAACATATACACACCTGTTCCATAGTCTATTCTTGTTTTATTTCCAAAACCATCTACAAAGTAATGCAGAATATCAACAGAGATTCACCTCAATACTGTGGTTCTTCCATGTATACCATTTAAAGCAAGAAAAAAAAGTTGGGCAAAACACTTTCCCTTTGTAATGATAACACAGTGAAATTACCCACATTATTCATTTAATAATGTAAGAGTAAATATGGATTAGGCTTATTCAACCCTTTACACCCCCAACGTCAGTATTCATTTTCTCCATGCTGTTTTCTACACTTTGTACATTTTTTAAGGTGCTGACAAGGAGAATTTGTTTAACAATCAAGAATAATCAATCAATTAGTTGGTGATCATTTCCTATATTCTCGTTACTTTGACATGTGATCCATAGGTGATATTGTAGGGAGAAATTAGAAGCTAGTCCCTCTGAGGGATCTAGGGGTTAATAAGGGTAAAAAACACATCACAGTCACAGACTGGTAAACTTGATACCCCCTATACAACCAAGACAGCCTTTATGCAATACTATATAGCATTTGGATGAATAAACCTAGAGAACAAACTTCCCTCAGTATAGGGTGTAGATCAATGGTAAGGGAGAATTATAAAGGCAAACCAAATTTTCAAAAGCAAACCTTTGAGATATGCGGCAAGTTCTATGCTGGCCCCTGTAAATTTTTCTGGAAGAAGTCCTTGGATCATTATATCAGCATTCTGTTCAAAATCATTCAATCGATAAATCAATCAATCTATTGATTGATTTTTCAATTAACCAATCAACAAATCAATTAATCAACTAATCGACTTATCAATTATTTAATCAGTCAATCTATCAGACAATCAACTGATCAATCGATCAGTTAATCATTCAATCTAACAATTAATCAATCAATCATTCAATCAGCCAATTGACTAATCAATCTATCAATTAATCAATCAAGCAAGTAATTGGTCATACAAGCAATCAATCACTTAATCAAGCAAGCACTCAATCAATAAATCAATCATCTTATTACTCAGGATCTCAGTCAACAAAAAAAATTCAAACCATTTCCAGGAACAGACATTCAGTGGATCAGTAAATTGTTAAATATTTTATGATATGCAAATGTAGGGTGGCAGGGTGGAGGTCTTGATCCTGTTTCACACACTAAGTTTAAAAAAATACACCTGACACTTGGATAAAAGGGAAAGCTTCAAATCTCTCCTTTTGCATACACAGTATCAAGGAAATCTTGTGGTTTTTAAAAAAAAAGGAAACATACTCAGGTCAGGTATAATTTAGGCTGCAAATCACACTTCACACTGGCTCACAAATTCACACATCTTGCTTGCTTTTCTGCAAAATTCATGTGTCACTTAGCAATTTTGGCTTTAATCAGGCATTGCATATAAACCTTTACCACCCTTCAAGTACATAAGAGAAACACAAATATAACTTAGAGAGTCTTGACTTTCCCTGGGAACCTCAAAACTGATCTTTAGATGGTTCTTGGACAGAAATATGTAAAAGTTAATTTACTCTTACCTCTTCAAGTCTACTGCACCATGTTCTGAAGGCTTTGTTTCCAAATCGTTGTGGCTGGTCAATAGGTGGGGTTTCATCAATCCAAGTGTCCATGGTTTCAAGCATAGTGATCAGTTTCGTTAAAGCCTTTAATCAAATGAATAAAGCTAAGATTCCAGAGAAATCTCTTTTAATCAATACTTTGAATATAAACAAAATTATAGTAACTGTCTTATAATCATTTTTTAATCCACCAAACTGTGTCATCTTGGTTACTGCTCTCTAACAAAATATGCCTAAATTGAGTGCAAAAAGTAAGCTTCAGCTAATAGTATTTGAAAGAAGGTTTTAGCAACCACTTTCAACGATACTGAGGTGAATGATTGTTAAACTATATACCATACAGATAATAAAAAATTAGTTTATTTTTCCAGTATACCAAAAAATAGTTGGAAATTTAACTCTTGACACTGGATTTTGTCTCTTTGGCTGCTTAGCGATAAATGGTACTTGCAATTAGGATTATTTTAGTATTTTAGTATTTTACCTCTGATGTTGAACAGTCGACCGACATTTTTTTCCCTTTAACAGCGTCATTCAAAGTGAGGATAAATCCAAGGTAATCACTGTATGCCTGTTTGCACAAACATAAGCATAATTTGAAATCCAAAAATATGAAGAACAGATTGGATAAAAATCAGCTTTATGACGAGCACCTTGAGGCTAAGACACATAAAGTAGCCACGTGCGGGCAAAGTGTAGGAGGAACCGAAAAAAGGTAGCAACGCTCCACTCGTTTGTCACTCCCATGACAATTTCTAACAAAGGCCTGTGCATATCGAGAAGCCTTCCTGTTAGCGTATCATGCATTTTGGTAGCGGGAAATCAGTAGGTACGAACAGCTGTTGAGCAAACGGGGCTTGCGAAGCGAAAGATCTTTTCCTCACCTGTGACTTTTCCCACTTTACGACATCATTACGATTCAAAATTTCTCGTTTTGGCTCTGCGAAGACTGGCGCTGAAATAAAGGAGAGTTCGTAATGTGTTGAAAATACAGGTGACGTGACTCTAAATAGGTCATTTCGCCGTACAAAAGCGAGTTGTATTCACCTTGTTCCAAGTTCGCCATATTGGAATGTTAACTCTCCCCAGTTCCCGGGTTTGTTTCCTTGTTTGGATCGTTGATCTATGACGAATGTCTGTCACAATTCAGGTGAAGCAGGTTATTTACAAGAATTCCATGCGCATAGGAAGTGCAATTTTATGGCACAAATGTAAGGTTAAAAAAAAATAATAAATAACAAAACCACAAAGACACAATGAAACGGGGTCGAACAGGATGCGATTCAGAACGCACGCCCTACTCTTAGGCCCCTGTTTTGGCGCTCTTATGAGCGGCCGTCACCACCGAAAAATACAAGGATGTCAAATAGATCAGCAAATACAAAGCTGGTCTAAGGATCAGCTGCAGGATAGCATAGCTAATAAAGGAATGGTATGGCCAAATTATAGACGGTTTAGTTTCCCCTTCGTTTTTCCGCGTGCATTTTTGCGAGTTTCAAAAGTAGTGTTTGCCAAAGCGATATGTTTTCCGAGTTGGTTTAGCACGCATACATACCGGCGCATTCCGATATCATTTTGATTGAAAAATGTCAAAAGAAACGCACGGCTAGCCAGAGCTGACCTCCATTGCACATGCCCTCACCCATGTGTTCTGCGTGAGGTAGTTATTCGTTCAGTATGTGGAGCCTGGGCCAAAGCGGTTAGAGATCGGAGGCTAAACATCTCACGACGTGTCACCATACTTCCTCTTTCCCCCACCCCACCCCCGAAATTACACGTCTGTTTGTTTACAGGTGAAAAATATAATGGTAATGACCCTCCACCAATAACACCTAGAAAGGGAGAGAAACCATCTACCAGGATATTCTTTAAAATTGTTCGACAAAAACAGCAGAATTGAAATTCCCAAAGAACAAGATGGTTATAAAAAGCTGGTGGCCCGAGGGAATATGTTAAAAGGAAAACCTGGTTTATTCCCTATATACTCGTGCCTAGGCTTTGATTTGACATAAGATTTTACCTACTACTATTCACATTGTTCACCCGATCAGAACTCTCTCTGACAGTGAGCTGCTCTTCCCACCCCCATAGATTTGAATGTAGTCCGACTCTTAAACTTATACGCTTTAAAATCGAATTAACACTTGGACAATAGGGAAAGAGGGGTAGAAGATAGGGTTTTGGGGATAAAATTCGAATTCCACTCCATGACATTGCAGTCTCAATGGCAAAGAGAAGACTAATTTGTCGCGGATTGTAGGTTCAGCTTGTATTCTGCTCTGAGCGACAAGAAAAGCTGTCATCCATCGTGACGTATAGAGTATCTATCGGAGGCCCAAGTCTCACAAATAAGATTTCATCGTTGCCAGTTTCCGGGAGCAGTTTACACGAATATCACAAGATAGTGATATTTGGAACAAGTTCTTGTGTTTAGTGAGCGTTTACCTGTGTTTAATCATGGAAGTCTCTACTTCTGTGAGGTTAGCGGATGTAAATGGAGATGCCGACGTGATCCATTGAATTGACTGGTCCAGTTTGCGTTTTTTCAGGAGACAGAGGCCGGGGCCAGGAGGGGCGAGCCGGATTAAAGGAAAGGAAGTTGGAAGCTGCATAGGACCGTGCCAATTGCCAAAACAATTAAGAAAAACCCTTCTAATAATCTTAGCCTGTAAAAGCACCGAAGCAAGAAAAAGGTAAGAAAGTGTTTTGCAGCTATACCATGAATAATCATATACGTGAAAAAATTAAGCGCACCTGATTGGCTGAAAACGAGGGCAATTTTCATGTAACACTAGTGCAAACTTGCAACACAGGTGTAACAAAAAAGAAAGGCGCACGTGCTGTCAAAATTCCGTCTGTCTTGACTTTCTGTGAAGCTTTTTTCATGTAATTTTCTCAAAGACTACAAATTGCACGAGCCCGTAGTGCTTATTTACACTAAATTGCGATCGAAATCATGTTACTACCTGGACAAATAAAAATGCAAATTATTTTCGAGTTTTAAGGTTACCACGATTAAACGTGGACGATGAGCAAAGTTTTCGTTGCAATTTGTCTTTTTTAGTTTTCTTTTTATCTGGAGATATCCTCGCTTTACGCTCATTTAAATTAAATTCATTGTGAGAAAAAAATTAGCGCTACTATAGCGATAAAACTACTATTTCAAAATCCAATATTTTAAAATTGTTTTTAATCAAATGTAATCTTTAATCATCCATGCGCACAAAGTTTTATTACCTATACTTATAACATGTACCAACATACACATTTTACGTTTCTACATTTTTTTGCAATGCTCGCTTATAGTGGGAACTAACGTTTCTATGCTAATATTAAGCTACAGAAGTTGAAAAAATATGACTATAGTCATTATCAGATTGAATCGCATAATAATCAATAAAGCAAGCCAACTCGTGCTATTGAAAACTAAAATTTAAGAAGTATAAAGCCAAAATTATTCTAAATGTCTAAACGTAGACGAAGCAATTGAAAGAAGATGCCACAATAGTTGTGTCATAAAATAACCAATCTCCCTCTTCGGATACTTTTATGTTATTTCATGTTATTTCAGCCGCTAAGTTGTTTCATTTCATTTTTCATGCTCAAATCTAAAAGTGAACTTCAAATATTACTGGAGGAAAGTTCCATTTAAGAGAAAAAGTGACGTTAAGTCTGGGGACGTTGAACAAAGAGGAAAAAAAATCTGGGACAAAACACATAGCAGCAGTTTTACGCTGAAGCAGCATCCCTCTTGTCCAGATAGCTGTCCCACAGTTCAAGAGAAGTTCCCCATGCGTTGATCACGTACTTCAGCTTCACATCAGTTGGTAGTTCGTCCAGTCCAGTAACTGGCTCATGTCCCTTATTGTCAAGATGCCATTCGATAAAGTCTTTCAAGCTAAAGGAAGGGATAAACGGCTGTAATGTATCACAATACTGGAAAGTACTCGACCGCACTATATTCCTTCCCACTTAATGACCCGCGCGGGATGTTGGAAGAACCAGAGAAGACCTTTACACGCTTTTCAAGCCGTCTTCCAAGGTCCCAAGTTATTTATTTTAGCGCGAAAATGATAAAAAGTGCAACTTACGGTCGTTTTAAAAATTAACCTTGATATCTTTATAAATCTGCTTTCTAACCGGTAAAAAGACACCAGTGAACAACAAAGAACACAGACCAACTCTCGAGTCAAAACTGCAGTACTCTTAAAAAATTATGTATTTGGGAAGGTGTTTTAACAAAGGAGGGACAAACACTCTGTACACAAATCGCTGGTAGCGAGTCGTATAGGGGCCGACAAGATTTACTTGAATTCGCGGCCATCCTGGTGTTTTCTGGTAGCTATGAAATGGCGCACTTTGAGGTGTGAAGACCCATTTAAGGAGTTAAAGACCTACTTCAACAACGCGTCATTTTTTGGAGATACAGGGTTTCAAAATTGAGGCGAAAATTTTGGTTATCTCACTTCCCTTATTTGAATTTGATATCCACAGAAAAAAAATATCTGAGAGCAGCCTAACAAAGACACATGTAATAAGGTAACCTACATTTTGTATTCCACGCGTTTAGTTAGTGAACGTGTGCGATAATAACAACTGAGCGAAAGGAGAAGGGAGGTTTTTGACGGGCCGCGCCCAGTTAAAAGACTAAAACAAGTGAATTTTAAGAAAAGGATTCTTGAAATTTGAGATCTAGAAATCTTACCTCATGTCTTCTTGGCCTGGTACCGCCTCTCCCCTGAGGTTAAGTAAGATCAATTCTAAGACCTCGGGCACGAATCGATCCGAGTCAATCCTCCTCATGCTATTGCTAAACTTCATCATTAGTCTTTGTGGCATGACCTGCTTGTACGTGTCTGGAATCTGTTCGAACGGATCCTACGTAAAACACGAAGACGGATCAGGTATAAAGTGACCGGGAGATCTACGTTATTTTTCCATGAATTCAAAACCGAAAATGTGCCTTCAGTTGTCAACACTACACAACAGTTCTTTGGAAGAGACAGAGAAAGGGAAGCACTCTGAGCAACACCTCCACGAATAATGTATCAAAATGACTTCTACAAGGGAACGAGATTAAAGACCAACGCCACTTCTAACTCCGAGCCTAGCCTTTTTTCTATATGACAGACTCCTGGTCATTAAAATCTTGAAGTTCTTCGCTCGTATGCGCTTTATCCACATGCTCGGATATTATTTATGTTAAATTGTCTGTAAAATACAAATAGCCTGAATTATTCTATTTCGTGAGCATAATATTTATTAGTTCTTAAGTGCAGAAATTGCGTCCTTATCAATTAAGATATGATTATGTAATAAATACGATGAAAAAATGATTTTGATATGATATTACCCGCTTGGGTAACGTTCCTTACCTCTCCCCGCCTCATTAAAATCCTTGCTCTCTCTAATGTCAACAGTCGCCAGAAGGAGAGAACGTGTCGCAACTGACAACACTGCTGCGCCTAAACAGAAGCAGAGCAGAAAAAAAGCTGTTCTTAAGGTACAGTTTAATTAGAGCGTAACGTGCTAACATGAAAAGGTGATCGCGTTTACTTTTATATAGTAACAGACTGCAAAATTAACATACTCTAAAACCCGTTAGAAATCGCTATTGGCAGTTAACTATTTCTGGGTCTGTACACGTTTACTATATTTACAATATTTAAGATATTTCCAAGTTGGAAGACAATTTTCGATTCCTGACACAAAATGATACATTTGCACATTTCCGTATTTTTACAAGAGTTCTCCCTTTTCTTGTTTTAAGCTTTTATCTTTCTTATTATTTCGCTTTTTGTAAGGTAAAACACGTAGCAAGAAACATAGCGCAAGGTAAAAACTTTTCGTTACCCATAGGGTCTAAAAGGTCTGTGGATAAACATCTATCTATCAAAACAGTTGAATTTGCACGGTTAAATTGAATGCTTACCTTAAGACTGCGAAGACTATTTTGTTGAGGCATGCGTAGTACATGTTGAAGGTAGTCTTTTAGCAGCTTTTCAGGTGATCCACCGGTCGAGGAAAGGAAACCGATTGCAATGTCGAGCGACGAAAGCACGTCACAGACGTCTGTCAGTGAGCGAAACTCGCCTAGAATTTGACTGCTTACCGCTGAACTCAATGGAACCTAACAATACGAACAATTTTTTTGAGTCCTCGAAAATATACACTTACTACACGATCGCAAAAATCTAAATACGACAATTGACCATCTACATGTGCAATTGCGCGACTGTCACCCGGGACCGGATACGTTTTCAATATCCATCCTGTGAATAAGATCTGAAAACCTGCCTGGCTACTTCATTGAAAGAATCACCATAGTGTTGCCAAGGAAAATATGTTCCACTTATGTATACAATATCAACACAGTCATTTTCAGTTCCAAACCCATCGTATGTTATTATTAGTGTCGTTTCTATTGCCAATATTGTCATAATAAGTATCACTATTATTGGTACAACTATTGTTACTGATAGCATCATCATTATCTTCATCATATTAACTTCTCTCACTACCATTGTTTTCTTGCTAATCATTGGCAACTCCAGAACGAGCTTGTGAGTCACATATTGAATAGGAATCGAGCACAAAAAACGAAATGTTTTACCTGTGGCCGGACCTTGTTTTTCACGGAAGTGAAAACCGAGTCTAACTGGGCGTCTTTGCTGAATGCAAACCTCTCGTCCTATGAAATAAATACGATATAATGCTCAAAACCTTTCCTTTAGGAGTGAATAAATAACTTTGGTAAAGACTTTGGACAGAAATTTCAGGAAATATTTTACAAACGTTGGACATCATTATGTATATTTGAAGCTACTTCGTACCTTGAAATCAATAAGTGGTCTTCCCCTTATGAACCTGTCAATCAGCTGTCTTTCAAGGGCTTCCCAGTTGTACTGAACCAATGTTCCCCGACCCACCTCTAGAGAGTAATTACACTGCGCCAAGACAAGGGGTAGAAGATCTCGTTCGGTGTCGTATGAAATCAGATGTGACCTTGTCACGTCTTGCAGCTGTATGTGGGGCAGGTCTCTAGTAATCACAGGGAACAATAACATCACACATTTGAAATAAAGTTCAAGTGGTTGCAAGGATACCCAAAGGCTACACAAAGAGGTTTATCATTAAAATCAGTTATTCTTATTTCGGGTCTATATCTACTTATGGCTAGTTTACGGAGAACATGATGTTGATTGCCGATCAGTTGTGATCATAGAATATTCGTATTCATAATTTTTCTTTAAAACGTGAACTGTCAGCTCCTAGTCTTCAAAGCGCGAGGTGAAAAAAGTAATTGCTAAATGAAATTGTGAAAAGTAATTGTCGCCACGTTAAAATAGGCAAATTGATCGTTGTACGTTCAGCACATTGGCCATATAGAGCGGGAGCGATATTTGAAGCTACAAAAGGAAATTTACTTCATTATCGACGCAGCATATCGTTTCACTGAAACTTAGAATAGGACTGAAAGCGTTGTGAGGTCATTCACGGTACTCTTAGCAAAGTAATTCTTAGGGTGGGTGGCATGAGGAAAAGGTTCCGTCATCGCACTTACTTGACTTTCCCGCCAATCAAGTTTTGATATCTTTCGTTGAACTCGTTGTGAAGCGTGGTGAGGAAAAATACCAGAGCCGTGGAACAGATACCCATGCCGGAGGTACTTGGTAAGAGTATAGCAAGTGGACGTGAATTATCCATGGGCTGGTCACACAAGTCCTTTGGAGGACGTAGACGCCCTGTTTAGGACAATTAATGATTGAGAAGAGATATACTACATATGTAGCTACAATCATAGTCAGTGGTCTGGGACAGTAGCACTTTTAACCTTTCATTTGCTCCTCTATACAACCCGTGCCTTTATGCTGTGCGGATGAGGAGGGAGGAGGGTGGGGAGGGGGGAAAGGAAAAATGAAAAAAAACATGAACTTGAACTTAGTGAATCGTTTGTAAAAGGCGGGTAAAATTATGTCCTGAGTACCTAATGCATGAATGGTTTGTGCCGTTTAATAACTTAATAATACCGTAAAATCTAATAGGTTTACGACCTGCTTCATTCATGAATACTCGTTTACAAATGCTGCCAATCTAAGCATACCTTGCTGATCGAGACTAAGCCGCACAAGGTTCCATGCGACGTTAAAGCTCGCTATCAGTGACGCAAGTTCACCTTTCTCTGTTTCTGAGGAGGAAGACAAAAAGTCAAGGGATTTTATAAAAGAGAAAAAAATAAGGAAAAACTAATTCGACAACTTACTTGAAGGAATATTCCGCAGGAATTCTCTTATCCTCATGCGCTCTGCTTCAGTTCTGTCAATTCGACGATGGAATTTGTCCATCAGCAGACGCTGTAGTTTTATAATGTCCGGCAGAAAACGGAGAGCGCGGAGTTTGTGTTCCTATAAATGAACAACAAATAAATGTAAAATGCAAAAGGACTGGCAGTTGATGGATGACATCTATCCGTCCATCATCATCATCCATTGGTGCTGCTCATTACCCAATAGCTCGTACCTTATGTTTTAAGAAATTTTTCAGTTCAACATAGTCTCAGTTAAAACCATACTTCACAGCAAATTACGAACTTCAAAAGCAAAAATGGTGCTCTGAAAGTAAACATACGAAACAGATGTAAAAATTGGTAAGTTGAAGTAGTTCAATATGGTTTACCTGCCGTAAAAACTCCGCTAATACTTTGTTCCTCTCAGGATCGGTGGACAATACCTCTTGTTGAAATGTGTGCGCAAAGTGATCAAGAGTCACTTGAGTCCGGTATCTCCATAGGGTAGGGCAAGTGGGAGGGATACCACCACTCAGAGCTTCAGTAGGGACGTCTATCTCAAACAGCTGACGCATTAGGGGATTATTACCTGCGGAAACAATCAAGGGCCATCAATGTGATATTTTATTTCTTGAAAAACAAAAGCGAGACTTGTATTTCCACCCTTTAAACACGGACTTGTCGATTCTCCATCTGGTTCACAATAATTTTATCTAAGATGAGAGGTAACAATTGGCATAGGCTTAGATCAAGAGATTGTAAACTCTCAGCAGTTTATGATCTCTTGGCCTAGGTACAAAAATCCCGATAAATCGCCTAAAAACCAGTCCAGAAATTCTCCAAAAAATGACTATAAATTTCAATTTTATCTCGAAATTTTTTTCTATAGATACCGATTCTGCTCAATTGTTTTCCAAATAATCACGTACTAAAACACGAGATTCCTGTGCTGAAATTGCATGGACGCACCTTCAAACTGATTCAAAATGATCATTTATTTACTAGACAATTTAAGTGGTTCGTTACCTTTCATAATTCACTTTCAAACAAACAATAACGATGACACCAAACAGTAAGCAGTGTAATTTCTACGAACCACGTAAATTTGTTTTTAATTTATCGGCTGTATATTTCCAAAAATTTTCATCTAAATATCCTTTAATGTTCTAAAAATCCTCAAATTTTCTAAAAATCCTGTTTGCCTCTAAATATCCTAAAAATATCTAGTCCTAAACTGGCAGTACACCAAGCCCATAATTAAATGAGTTCATGGTTTTTCTTATTGGAAGAGTACCAATGTCCAAGGTCACATATTATAATTGTTTCATGTGGAAATGAACTCACCGAGCCGCTTGTCACTAACCAACATTTGTAAGCGCTGTTGAATTTTCTCTTCAAGGTTCTAAAAGATAGGAAAAGAAAATCGGTGGCTTGACAAATAACAAAATTAAAACCTAAACTACAACAAAAATCTAACATACCGTTAAAACTGGAGTAACAACAGTGGCACTGAAGGCTGCTTCCCATCCTCTCCGAGACTCCTTCGATTTTAGGTCATAAGCAAAGTCTGCGGCTTGTTGCGCTAAAACGTTTCAAATCTCATTAAGTTTCAGATGAAACTGCTTCAACGGGTTTCTATCTATCCGTCTAATAAGGTCAAATAATTGAACCCATGGGACAAACATATGTTCGGCTATACATAAAAAAACAATGTGTAAGATCTAAAATGTAACAGAATAAACACCCTTCTCGTATTAGGGCCATGATATAAATTTTGCAATTTTTCCTATTCATTTGATAATTATGCCAAGAAAATTCTATTATGTGGACTAATGCGAAAAGCAAAGAGACTTAAATTAGGATTGGTAAATTCCCGAGTTCTTTTTCGTCATTCTTCGAAAACGACAAGCTCTATGGTATTGAGAATTCTTAGAAGCTTACTTCTACTGACATGCGCAGTCATTTGTGCCAGGACCATGTGGATACAAAGCACCGTATCGTCCACACTCCTCCCCAGGCTTTTGGCGAGAACTTCAAAGTCCAATCGCAGGTGATCCCACAAAAATCGTGTCAACGCCGCCGGTGGAATTGTGGGATTGATGAGATTGGAAATATTCTAGACAAAGTAAAAAAAGCAAGACGAGGTTTAACAGGTAGTTTAAAATCTACCCACATAGGCATTCTTTAATGTTACTAACTAATTTAATTCGCGGGCCATCAAATGTATAGAATGGCAGAACTTAAATCATACTTTTTTGGTTTAAGCATAGATAATTGCCGTTTATCAAAGTAAATAAAGCACCAAGACTCACCTTCTCTAAACATTTCTCCTACTAATTTATTTTTTAATACCTCCTACCTAATCCCTTTGAGTGATCCATTTATGATCACAACAAAACTGAGCTAAAAAGCAGAAGGAGCACAAAAGCAAGAACAACGATATCTTCAAAAACAATGACAAATGAGATGAAGGAAACTATGGAAAGATACAACTTCCTTTAGTCTTCTCCGATAATTTCTGATACCTAAAGAAAGAACCAAAGGAAGAGAAGGGGTTGTGATGACTCCCAGAGTAACATACTGACAAGTTCTAGATTCACATTTTCACCTCTACTAGTTTTTTCTATAAGAAGAGAGTTACTTGTTGAACGAGAAATAATTAACCCTTTTCAAGATATAGTCGAAGGGATAAAGGACCAGCTCACCTGTGGATGCCGGTGGGCTCCTTCAATCATGGCACAGTGCATAAGAATCCGTGTAATGCCGACAAGAACAGGCGACAAGTTCCTTTCAGGAGCAACACCTCTGGACCTTGTATTAGCATGGCCAAGCACGTGACCCGTCATTGTTCGGTCATTTCTACAGACCAAAGATAGCAAAGTCAAAGGTGTTCTTTTGCAAACTTTGGTCACACTAGCCTGATACTCTTGCACAAGTGGAATATATTTGCATTTTTGAAAGCCATTGATTAAGAGTACTTCCGGGAAAGCCCAAGGAACGTCACCAATAAGCAAAAGAATTTAACTCTCGGCCTTACTCTACTACGTGTTTAGAGTAATTTAAATACCATCAAAGAAATGGCAAAACAATTTGTGTCCGGATTTCCACTAAAAATTAAACGGTTAAAATGACCAGATAAAGCTTTGTTCCGTACCTCTGGATTGTTGTATTTCCTTGAGTGAGTTGATGCCCTGACCCACCTATGTTGACGTTACACTCAGGGCAAGTCCTCATTTCCGTGGGGCGCCCACACTGCCAAAAAAAAGTTTATATGGACGATATTGGAGAGATTTAGCACATCGTTTACGTGAACGTGAATGGCAAGAGTGACCATGTGACCACGATTTTTCCGCCACTTTTCCACGTTACCAGCTGCACTTTGCCGTTTCTACGTGTAAGTAAGCTGTTTCACGTTTGCCGTGTATGTTCACACAAAAAAAAATTTAAAAGTGCACCAAAATAATTTCCTCTTAGTCATGTAAGAGTAGATGAAGTCTCGTGTTTACAATCCTTCAAATTCTGCACTTTTCGACAGAAGAAAGCTGCAAAAACTCTCGTTGACTCATGTCACGGCTTCATCGAAACTCAAACTGACGTGAGCCCACTCGAAGCTCAAGCAGTAAGGTGCACACCATTTAAGGTTAAACGCGAAAGGGCAAGGTTACGTATGCCGTTTCACGTAAACACAGTGCTGAATCTCTTTATTGCGAGTCTTGCGGGAGAGAGGCGCATGATTGCTGTAATTTCTACTTAAGCTTTGAAGAAAGTAAACGATGGTTGCAATTTTCAAGCAAGGAACTCTCCGTGCCTAAAGGGTTCTAAGAGGAAATGTCTCTAAAGAAGAGAATAGTTTGGGTACCAAATCATCATCAATATCCATTTCTGCCGCCACATCTGACTCCGCCAACGCAACCCCTGTTGAAGGGTGCCTTACGCCAACGCGGTTGAGTTCAAATAGATACGTTTTGTTTACATGAAATCGCATACTTTTGTTACCTAATATAGGTTTAAAATAAGTCAGCAGAAGCCTCCACAATTGTAAGAGGGGAAACTTACATTTCCGACGTAATAGGGATGTCCTCTTGGACATTCTGCAAAAAGAGAAGTATATTTCCCGTAAGCATAATCACGAAATATGCTTCAGCTAACGGAGACTACACTGGAACGGATATTTTGAGTTACTTACGATACCAGCTTCCAGTCTCACTTATTCCAGTCATTGCTTCCTGAAGGTTGTCGTCTGGCATTGTGGGTAAATAGGCATTCTGACACACAAACAAAACAACTTTAGCAAAGAAATCACTTCTTAAAGTTGTTTTTAACTAAGCAGTTACTATCATAGGCGGTAAAGAACAGTGAAAACAAGCAAGGCTCTGTTTGGCTTCCTTAAGGATTTCAAGCGTACCATCAAAGCTACAGGATTGTCCATAAGAAGACGCAGTGGTTCGCACACAGTCATTTGATTAATACACTGTAACACAGCAGTGGTATGAATAACAATTTCGGCCAAACTTTGGTCCCGCGCTGATCGACCAGGAGCTACTCGGACGGCAGGAAACTCAGCATCACCTTGAGTGTTGTTTAGAAGCTGAATAGCGAACTGTTGAGCCTAAAGAGAAGAATGACGTAGAGATACTGAAGACCAAGAGGAAGTAAGGAGCCAACAGCAAATGTTAAAATGAAAAAGTCCGAAACAACATGATTCGTTTGAACTCACCCTAGCAGAAAGCTGAGCACCATCACTTAGAAATTCTCCAAAACACTGACGTGCCTGAAAGAGCAAACCATTTGATAACCTACTAAAGGCCATGGTAAAATCTTACCGAGGCAGAAAATCTAAAACATCAATGGAATACCTTACAACACAGATTTTCCCAACGTTTCTTGATAGAGTAAGATTTTAAACATTCTCATTGAAAGAAAGGACACAGGGCATGTATTTATTTCCTTGCGTTTTAGATGTATATACACTTCTTTCCTAACAAAATAAAGCTTATCAACAATATTCAGTATATTCACAGATATGTGATGTGTGTTATGTGTATAAGGGTCTGTTGATGTTTGTTCAGTTGATTGACATCACAAGTGTACAGAAACCTAACTCCTTTCAGTGGTTTATTGAATAAATCAGTTAAGTATGTACCACGGCTATACAAAAAAGATTGTTAGTTTCTTACTCTTGTGGAGAGCTGTCGTTGAGAGGAGGTAAAACCATAACAAGTGGTCACTTCGCGATATTCAGACAACAAAATCATGACATCTCTCACGAAAGGCGGCAAGACAATGCTCTGCAAATAATAAAGGCAAAATATAATTCACCGCTAATTCTTTTCGAGTAAGTTGAGTGATCTTCGTCTTCTTCACAGTCTTTCATTTCGCTTGCCGCTTTACAGTGTTATACTATTATTTTCCGGGATTACACCTCGTGGTCGAAAGATGAGATCGACAATCAACCTTAAAGTTGTAAGTATACGACCACGCTCTAGATATCACCATGACACGAGCTGTAGCTATGTGACCAAGCTTACGACGACACGTCACTCAAAACTACCTCAAGCTTTCGGAATAGAATTTTGTAGACTACAGCGATCTTAAGTGTGGATATAACAGATAGACGCAGCTATAAGCAGTCTCTAACGGTTTCGTACCTGGAGCGCGCTATTCAACTCCTTCGGTGTACCACTCAGCACAGTCTCTGCCATAGCTTCTCTGATTTTCTTGTACTCCTCTCCGTATATAATAAACCTATCAGGAACAATATCTCCCTGCTGGAAAAGGCAAAAACCGAAAATAAATGAAGGGCACTAAGTTTACTCCAAAGGGTAAAAAGAGAAAAGAAGCTTGTTATTTTAAAAGAAATTTATAACTGAAATAAGAGGTGAAGGTTTTAACCTATTCAACTTCTTCACGCATTTTACCTGTTTGTCTCTACTCTCTGGTGGCAAAATCCACTCAGACTCCTTTTTATCACACAAGATAATGATCGACTCCACACCAAACCTCCTCGCTAGCTGTCTCAGAAGGTACAGTCGGGAAATCTGGCTCAGACTCTTGTAGCACATTCTCCTTGCTCCTTCAAAAAGGCTTTGTAATTCGTTTTGTACTACCAGATCATTCCATGGACCGTCTTCTTCTGTGACACTTTCGTACATAAACTTAGCAACTAATGCTAAAGCATAGCGCGCTTTAGCAACGGCTTCTAAAACATCTACATCAAGGTCTCGTGTGTGTTGCTGTAGCGAGTTGGAGGTAAGCAAAGGAGTACATTCAACGCAAAGTTGCTGAGCAAGTTTAATCATAACACGCAAATTGTCTGAGGCCTTAGAATACAAGCTGATCAGGGAGTCCTGCAAAAAGAGTGAACGACAAAGTAGTGAGAAACTTATTCAGATTATCTTTTGTGTTCAGTAATGGACAGAGTATCACGCTATCTTTGAAAGATTGTCATTTCAAGAGAAAGATATTTGTACGGTATAGCTATTCACGACAAAGAAAGCAAAGCAGGAAATAACTAAAGGATAAATAGAGTATTGAATCTGTTATGGGTCAGAACTAGATCAAAGGCGAGTGCTGAATAAAGAGCGTGTTCCGTAAACAATAGCAGTACTGCGTATTTCAAATAACTTGTAACTCCAGAGCTCACCTCCCAACAGTGCACAAAAAGTTGACAGACTTGTAACAAATGACCTGTTTCTGGTCTCAGCTCTCGAGCGCTGGACAAGTAGTGTGACAAATGCTCTTTTACTTCCTTGTCACTATAAAAAAATGAGCAACGATAAAGAAAAGGGAAATCACGATGGTAGAAAGAGAATATGACCTGATACAACATTCATAGTAAGAAAATAAAGAATTTGATTGATACAAAGAGTGGAAATAATTGCTCTAAAGACAAAAGGTTTCCAACCCTGAGGTTAATAGAAAACGAAGGAGAGATTGGTGATTTTAGGCTGGCGCCTAATTCTAAGGAATTTATCAACCTACGATCGGAGAGCAGAGCAATGGTTTTGCAACCTTAAGCCCCACAAATCAAAAACGTATTACCTCCATTAACAGCTGTACATACCCTGCTCTCAGGAGTTGTTGTAGAAGAAACGATCTGACCACAGGTGTTGCATCAATGCCATGTTCCGGAAAAGGAGAAAAATCCTTAGTCTTTGAACTGGCTTCTATTACATAACTCATGAACATTTCAAACAGTTCAGGATCCATAACACCCTCATCGTCCTTTTTGCCAAAACAGAACAGTGAGACAAGCTCCATGAAGAAGGAGTTGCACCGACGACGGAAATCGAAGTGTTCTTGAACAGCTTTCCTGTAAATACAATTGCACACCCAACTCAGTTAATGAATGGTTCTTAAAATAAGGGAATAACATTATGCAAAGCGGTTATATCTATCTCCAAAGACTTTTATGTCATTATTACAGTGTATAACAAATGAAGATAAATTTACAAAGAGGAAAGCACAACTTTTCTTTTAATTCTCGTCAAGTCTATTATCGATCTCACCCATAATGCCATATGCGAGGAACTTAGAACTATGCTCCAGTTCAAAATTCTTTTGAACTTCTCAATTAAGTGTTGAAAGTACAATGGAATAGCCTGATTTCGATTTACCGAGCTTTATGATAGATCTAGAAATTAACTCCATTCTCCCGACTTGGTCACGCGCGTTTACCCCTTGAATATGTTTGTTTTCATGTGGGCGAAACTGATCTGTAGGCCAGTTGACTTGGGGGCGAACCGATCCATAGGCGATATGAATTGTAGGCGAAACTATTCCGTAGGCGAGCTGACCTGGGGGCGTATTGATTCGTAAGCAAGATGACGTGAAGCGAAAAAGGCGAGATGAGTTGTGAGCGAACCAACCCGTAGACTTGTGGTGGAAACTAACCTGTTAGCGAGATGACTTCTAGTACATCTGTGTTTTCTTCATTAATTCCTTAGAGCACTTTTTCAGATTGGCTGTTGTGTGATTGCTTTAGTTTTGGTTTTAGAACAATTGAATTAAAGCTCTTTCAAACATAGGTAACCGTTATTTCCACAAATAGTACTATTATATAGGGCCTATTGCACAAAATATACGTATTTACGATGGCTCCCCGTGCGAGCTTGGGCTACCTGGGTTTTAATAAATACGTTATACCTTATTAATTTGGTGGGTAAGATCTTGAAATCATCCGGTACGTCTCCCTTGCAGTACGGACATGTTCTCTCCCTTTCAATCCAGTTGGTGACGCAAACAAGGCAAACAACATGACCACAGGGCATTTTAACAGGATCCCTCTGAGCCAGACCATCCAGACACACAGGACAGGTGTTCACACCATAACTGTGGGATAGAAGAAATGCTGCTTTAGGGCTGCGTCGAAAACTATCTGTGTAAGTCTTTACACGCACGCACGGAAGCACGATGAACAATGGAAGGAGAGGTTCATTCTCATCGAGGCGAATCGAGGGCAAGAACATTATCAAAAAAGAAAAACATCTACTGCCTTTGTAAAAGCACAATGACAAAGGTACAATTTATGACCAACTATCCTGACATTTTTACTGCCATCTTCTTACCTGGTATAACGTTTACTAACAGCTTCACTGCAATCCACAAGAAACTTTTCAATAACTAGCATTGTTTGCGGTTTAGTGAAGTCTGTCTCATCACCTAATGCCTGTTAGAAAGATTGTTTTGTAAATGAATATTTATTTTGAACATAGTAGCGCTAATTTTCAATCTTAAGTCAAAGCACTTAGAACCACAACACACTCTTTCGCTGTTCACATACGAGCATAGATGTTTCGACCCACCTTCCATAGTTTGAAAACATTCTTCACATCAGCTGGGTGGCATGCAACTGTGCCAGGGCAGGTATGTTCAATAAACAATCGCACAGCACTTACTCTCTGCCAAGTTGACCTAACACAGAAAGTTCGCGAAAAGAAAAAAAGTAATGACATCAAATACAATAATATCCTTGCCTGTTAAGTTTAGGTACAAGCTCTAAAAAGTGATCTTGACTGCGGTTATTATTTCTTTTAAATGTAATTCAGGTAAGAGGTTAAGAGAGCCAAAAGCAAAGCGAATTCAACCGAAAAAACTGAAATGTGATTAGTCGATCTAGAATTTTAAAAAGTGCAATACCTGCAATTACGTAGAATGTGGTTTACTTTACGGCCATACGGTGAAAGATTACTGATCATGTTCTCAGCACTTGTTCTGATACTCAACACTCTGTTACACCACACTAAGCGAGTCTGTGGATCGTCAAACTCTTCAGCACCAGGTTCAAGTTTGGACAAGCAAATCTCTAGGGCGACGGCATCAAGGACCTTGAAGGTATTATTAGATCATGTCAATCTTACTACGGAACTTTTTTCATTCATAATTCAGAAATATGTGCATAAAAGCTCTCAAAGCGTGAAAGGCTAAAAATAACAAGGTTAATTTTAATCTCATGAAGTTTTCGATTGAAGGATTACTTTTCAAAACAAGCAATAAGCTTACCATCTCCGTTTCGTTTGGAGGAATAACTTCCCGAAGGCTGGTTACAATATCTGGTTGAGCCTGTACTAGTTGGCAGAAGTTCGCCAAACGTTTCTCGATGCGATCGTAAGCCACGTGAATGGAAGAGATGGTGAGGGTGAATTCCTCATCCGAACATGTCTCATCATGCAACTCGCGAGCGGCTGTGACAATAGCTTGACTAATCAGCTGTTGAGTAACAAAAAATAATGAGGATGTTATCGGACTTCCGATAATTTTTTACCTTCTTGGTTGGTTCTATGTCGGGAATTTGGCGCCTAGCGATAGCTCGAGAACATTCATTCAAATCGTCACAGATTTCAGATAATATGGAAGCAGCTGGGTTGATTGTCTCAAGTTCACCCAGTTTCTCAGTACGCATGTCATTCAGCAAGTAAATCTTTATCATCATTTGCAGAATAGCAGGTCGGCTTCGTCTCTGCTGACGTGTGACAAACGACAGATTATTTCCCAACATGAGTCAAACCAGGCGAGATAGGCTATATGCAGAGTTCACAAGTGCTTCACACCCTTTATGAGGTGAACAGAAATTAAGGTAACGTAAAAACTAAAAACAAATGGTCTGGGTAGAGGATCTTTCGGGTTTGTGGGTGAAACTGATTTAAATTCCTCTACGAGCGTACATTTCTTTTTGAAATAAAATAGCAACTCCGTTCTGCCACTGATTGGGTACATGTCGTACATAATTCACATGCGCTTGCTACGACAAAAGCGGATCTAGATTTCGTAGATAAGAGATAGGAGAATCCAATCAGCATTCTTTATGATGTCCTACCTCTTCCTCTCCAGGAACTGTTGGTTTGTGGACCATGTGAACGAAGTCGTGAAGGTAGCGCATCACTACGGCTTCCTCGTAGCCTTCATATTCAGTTTCTTCGAGCAGTCTTCCGATTTCCGACGTAGTCACTAGGTCACACAAACACTGCTGAACTGGGGTGTTTGTTCTCGCTTATAAAAGAACGAAACAGCAATGAGTTCAAGAACCTTCCGCTTTCGTTTATATGGAGAACGAAATATGTTTATTTGTGACTTCGTCAAAAACTTTTTTGGAAAAGAAATCGAAAGACTCGAAAAACTTGTGCCATAAACTCAAAGAGTCCAGCATGTGAAGTCTAACGTAATTAAAATTTTTTAATTAAAACTCACCGGTTCTTTCTATCCGTGCGTACACATTTTATTTGAACTCTGTACTTAACAATCGTTAGAAGTTTAGCTTGTTATGAAAGTATAACGGGTATTGTTGTATTTTATCGTTGTAACTAGTAAGAAACTACTTCATGGGTACGCTGAAAAATTAAAAAAGTATTTACCTGCAATACTACAAGCCTCTTTCCACATAGCATCAATTCTCTCTTTGATCAGCCATGAGAAAGGAAACTGCAGGTCAAAATTTTGTCTTTCACACGCAGAAGTCATTACTGGCACGCGCTCCCTTATGATGCCACTCTCAAGGGACAGAAAGCTATCGTACTGAAGTTCAACTATATCTTGGCTTTGGAAAAGTGATATCCAAAGGCGTGACAACCAGGTACCTTCACCCGTCACAAGTTCCAAGTTAGAATCGCGGTCTACAAGGGCTATAACTTCAGAGAGAATTGGTATTACAGACGAATATATTCTCTGCCATAGCGCTTTTCTGAATGTTCCATTTTCTTGGATCCCGGTACCACTCAAAGCTTCTGAGCGTAACCAGTCAGTGGCTTTCGTCCCAGCCCGCTCATCCTTTTCTTCAAGAAGTTTGTGGATTCGCCGAGACAAAACGGTAGCAAATGACAAATCTGACAGAAAAAAAGATAAACTCTTGTTAGCGAACCTTTAAAAACAAGCGAAAACTTATTAAATTCGAGCATTCTTCGATCTTTTAAATGGCAAATAATCGATTCTCGCCGTAAACTGTAAAAAGTTGATTTAGCGCACAGTCGGTCTTTTCCGAAGTTCACTTAAGCAGGGATCCTGCTTAAGTGAACTCCAAGGCTTGGAGCCTATCTTTTGTTAGGAACAATGATGGATTATCTTAAAAAGTTAAAACGATAAGCCTACTAGTAGTCATCTCCACCAAATACAAAAAAAATAATCTAGACGTCCAGGCATGTCAAAGCCGACATCTTTTGAGCAAGAAAAGGAGGATACAAAACATTTAGACAGATCAGAGGCGCTTATACGAAAAAAGTGCTTCTTAGATAATGGAGGCGCCTATAAAAATACCAAGTTCGCGTTGGGAAACTCAGCATATCATCATAGTAAATAGCAAAGAGTCCTGTTATAGTTACCAGTCCCACTGGATCTGCAGTCCGGGAGAAGACTTAACATCAGTTCAATCCGGCGTGTCAATCGTGACGGACGCCAGGACTCTTCGTCAAGTCTTGCAACGGCAGCTTGAATACAGCTTCTCACAAGACTGACAATATCTACTTTATCCAAAATGGCATCAGTCCCGGAAACATCATTGACGCCTCCATGTCTATATCAGCCTCTGTTTCCTCTTCCTCTTCAACTTCCATGACATCTTCCCGTGTGATGGTCGGTGCTACGTCAAACAAGTTACTGATTGACCGGTCCACCATAAACTGGATGGCTGGTATTTGACCTGTCGGTGGGCGAAGTTCATCGATGTGGACAGATATCCAGCGTCCTCCCTGAAAACCAGCAAACGTTGGACAACCTCCAACTAGACGAGGCAATTGAATGATGAGAACAATATGCACGAATGACGAGGAAGCACGCCCAACGCTTTCCTGAAAATCTTGCTCTGCTGTGGTTCTTTGTTCCACTAGCAAGTGACGAGCACAGGGGATCAGTTTGCTATTAAGATCTCCAGCATCACACTGGACCAAGAGCAATCCCTCTCTTCCACCAAGTTTCGCAAAAAAGTCCCTGTGAACGCGAATTAGTATTTATGGAATTTACAAACGGTATGAAAGTTGTTTGTTAAGTTTTACTACTTTTTACTTCTTCATTACATTACTAGAAAAGAAGTTTCATTAAATTGTTAAAATAGAAAGTTATCAAACAAATATCTTGCATTTGATCTACCAGTTATATAACGTCCTCACCTTACAGATGAGCAGAACTGTTGTTCTGTGTGGAACTGCTGCAGACTTAGACATGAGACGTTTGACAATGGCAAAGAGGTAGCAGATGAAATATCTTTCAAATCATTCGACG